CGGGGAGCAGCAGGTGCGACAGGAGAGGTCTGCAGCACCATGTGGGACCCTTGCCCGCTGGCCGGGATCAGACTGGCACTGCAGAGGCTGTAGCAGACAGCTTCACAGTGCTGTGCTCAATCACCTATGCCACCAGGGGAGAACCAGTTTTCTTCAAAATTTATCAATAGTTTATAAAAAGAATCATAAAGAAAATGATCAAAGGTGGCCTTTGAACTTTAATCAATTCTAATTCTAAAACCAATTAGCAAGAACCTAATGGAAACTCTGAAAAACATTGAAACTCTTAGGCTCCCTGTGTAGTTTTTTATCCTTCACCCATAAAAACCACTAAAAACCGAAACACTGACATATTTTTAAAAGACCAGCTAGGGGGCAGTATTGCCCCCATTGAGAGTCGTTGCTCAATAGACAGGGTACAACTCTGAGAAACTTCTTTAGCCTCCTGTTTTCTTCTGTCCTATTTTGGACCTTGGATCCTCTGATGGTAATGTAGGATGAAAGAAGAGATAAAAGGGCAAATATCTTCTACTTAAGGAGGAAGTTTCTTCCCTGAGTTAGGTGCACCTGCTGTCTTATCCTGTTGGTCTATGACTCCTCCCTTTATATTCTTGTGAAGTAGAGGGGAGTAAGGATGATAACAGAACCAAGAAACCATTCCAGCCCCTCTTAGAACTTCCTCTGAGAGATGGCCCAGTCTGAAACCATAGCATATGAGCTGGGTGATTTAGTGCCCTTTTTATCAGCTCTGTGCTTTAATTTTCTGTGTAATTAATTTCCATACAATTCTGGGATGTGAAGAAACAAATTCACACCTTTACACTAGTTTGAAGAAGGATAACTGAGAGGTGTTTTGGAATGCAAAAAGCTAAGACCAGAAAGCAGATACACATTATAGTGCCACTTCTCTTGCTACCCACCATGTGATTTGGGTTATTTAATTCTCTGGACCACCTTTGCTTCATATGCAAATTGGTATACAGGGGAAATTAGATGATGTTTTTTGTGAATTATTTTAAACCCTTGACTTCAGTACAACTCTGAACATTTGGGCACTTCATGTAGACAATGTGATTTACCTCTCTCTGTGTGTCTTGATATCCTTATGGGAGGTGTGAGTTTTGATCTTCACTCAATGAACTTTTTTGTTGTTGTTAAAGATTTATTTTTATTCATGCCTACAAGAACTGGGGTATAGGCCAGAGGTGCGGGGAGTGGGAGGAATCACCAGAGACAGTGTGGGGTAGAGAACAAGCTGATCTACTGAAATACACTGCTGAGGGGAGCAGCTGAGGGGAGCAGCAGGTGAGACAGGAGAGGTCTGCTGTGCCATGTGGGTCACCTTCCTGGCCAGGGATCCAACTTGTGCTGTAGTAGTTGTGGATAGCTTCATAGTGCTGATGCTTAACCCCTTATGCCACCAAGGAGGCCCCACTTGTTGAATTTTTTCATACAAGACTTGTAGGGTCAAATTTGGCAAGTATTTTCAAAGTTCTGACACTTACCTCCACCAAATCAAGTGTTTTTTAATCAATTGTTGAACATGGTGAATCATAACCATTATGAAAAATTATTTGTTAATAATGTGAAGTTAGAGGGGCCTCCATGGTAGCAAAGGGGGTCTCCATGGTGGGGGCCTCCATGGTGGCAAAAGTCTCAGCGCTATCAAGCTATCACCAGCCACTGCGGCCTGAGTTTGAACCCTGGTCAGGGAGCTAACCCACATGGTGCAGCAGACCTCTCCTGTCTGGCCTGCTGCCCCCCTCAACAGTGTATTACATAGATCAGCCTGTTCCGTTCCCCACCCTGTCTCTGGTGAATCCTCTCACCCACCCCGCACCTCCAGCCTGCATCCCAGTTCTCACATGCATAAATTAATAAATATAAATCTTTTAAAAAAATAAAGTGAAGTTAGAGAACTTGCACTTTTCTCTGTGTCTAGGTAAATATGTACGACATAGGTTGCAAATAACTTTATCAACACGTCATGACTCTCTCTACTATGTAATATACAGAACAATTAATAGTCAAAAGGACATAAATTATAAAAAAGATAAGTTAAGAAAGAAATGGGCATTTCTATAAAGGGCCTTGGATTTCTTGGATTTCTTCAAAGTTGACTCTAAGCCAGGGATTCTTATCCAAGTGATGTATTGAAAGTGAATGCCAAGAAACCTCTGAAGGTAGAACAGGTCAGGAGTAGTTAAGCAAAGTTGTGGTTTCTCAAGCCATGAAGAACTCTGGAAGGTTCTCAATTGTGCCAAGGTTTTTCAGCTAAGGTTCTATGTTATTATAACCCTACTTTAGCTAGTCATTTGCTGCTGGTCACCTACAAGGATCAATTGGAAACATAATTTCCCAGACATCACAAATTGAAATGATCCCTGTAGGTCAAAGACAAACCTATGCAGAAAATACGCCTTTTGTAATCAGTACCTGCAGCAGCTGGAGGAAGGGCAAGGGTAGAGAGAAGGGTGGTAAGTAGCCTGCCCTGGAAAAGAGGGTGTAGGCAGGCACCAATAGCATCTGCCCTGTAGTATTAAAGGAGCCACATTATGCCCACATGGCATCCTTTAAGAACCCTTATAAAGGGCCTCCCCAGGTGGTGCAGCGGTTGAGCCTCTGCAGCACAGGTTCGGTCCCCAGCCACTGGCAAGGGTCCCACATGGTGCACAGACCTCTCCTGCCGCCCGCCGCTCTCCTCAGCAGTGTATTTCATCAGTCGGCCTGTTCTGTTCCCTGCTCTGGCTCTGGTGAATTCTCTCACCCTCCCGCGCTTCTGACTGTACCCAGTACTTGTATAAATAAATAAATAAATCTTTAAAAAAAAAAAAAAAGAACCCTTATAAAGCTGTCTATCAGCAAGTGATATGTAAGACAACAGTCTAGGAAGTCCAGAGGTACAGTGTATGTGACGCCCTCTAATGTGTATGAGTGCTGGCTCTGTGCTAACACTGTTATGCAATCTTTAGGCTTATCGGGATATATACAATGGGCCTCCCTGGTGGCAGGGGTTAAAGACAGCACTGTCAAGCTATCACCAGCCACTGCAGCACGAGTTCCATCTCCAACTGGCCAGGGAGAAACCCACCTGGCGCAGCAGACCTCACCTGTCTCACCCGCTGCTCCCCTCAGCAGTTTGTTTTAGTCAATCTGCCTGTTCTGTTCCCCACTCTGTCTCTGGTGAATCCTCTCACCTTCCCCACCGCCGTCCCTCTGGCTTACACCCCAGTTCTTACATAAATAAATAAATGAATCTTAAAAAAAAAAAAGATATATACAATGTAGGTAGTAGTATTGCTTCTGTTTCTGAGTAAACAACCATAGAGAAGTTAAGTAACTTGTTCATAGTCAACACAGCTAGCAAGTGCCAGTGAATGATTGTTTTTATTGGCAGTAATATGGTAGGGCTCTTCTAGAACAGAGAAAATGGAATCCTAAGCCCAAATGAAAACTTCTTAGGATGGGCTCATATTTTTAGCAAGTTCCTAAAGTGACTCTTACACACACTGAAATGTCAGAACCATTGCCAAGTGGAATGTATTTTTCAAGATGGATAAAAAGTATACGAGGGACAATGTCAACAGAAAAAAGTGGTTGGCAGAAATAAACTTGTGAATTTTTATAGATAGTCTGAAGGAATTGAAAAGGAAGGTGAAAATAAAGTTGAGATTGAATCTCAAATACCAAACAGTAATTACAGAGGGAAAAAAATATCTTTTTGTTGCTATATTGTTTCTTAAAATAATCAAATAGCAAAAGTTAAAAGTTTAGGAAACGTTGACTTTAAATATCACAGGGTATTCTGTTCTCTATGCATTTGTTCCTAAGAACAAATGCTAAATAGTCTCTTTCCTAGAGAAAAACAATATAATATAAAATTAGGGAAGGAAATAGCATTTCCTCAAAGGCATTACATAAATACAAAGAAATAAGTTAATTGCTGATACATTATTTAGAGTGTTTTCACGTAGATGTAAGTAGCTTGTGACCTAAGTACTGTCATTAAAATACATCATTATGTCATTAAAATACATCATTATAAAAACTGGACCCAGAAACTTTTACCTCAATAATTTTCAAAAAATTTGGACCAGAGAAACTGAAAAATGGAGGATCAAAAAAGTGAGATTGTAGGCGTGGTGCCAATTGGCTACAGTGAAATTTTCCAGGCTATTTCCCAGGGGTACCACCAGCTACTGAGTCATCTTCCCCCATTGCCTGTTGATCTAATTAAAGAGAAGAAAGCATTCTAAGAGGGCAGTAGAAAGAGCCTATTCTTTATGATGGATGTCAGGACATCAGGCATACTCTGCCCCTTTAACCTGCTGTTCGTGCTCCTTGTCACTATCAAATTCATTGTGACAATTACATACAAATTCCAGGAGAAACAGTTCTAAGTAATATGCTAGGTTATTTCTGATTAACAAGGTTCTTTGTTCTATTTCCATTCTTTTGCTTCATATTCAATCCATTATTTATAACTACCTTATAATGCCACTTTTTGTATGCTTCTCCTGTTAATACCAGATTAAGTATGCTACAGATTTAGGGATTAATGGGCAGTCCTGAGAATGACCTCAAATTAATTTCAACTGCATAAATCATATGGTGGAGGTCTTTGAAGTTGGAAATGAAGGTTAAAAATCACATTTTTACAATGTGCACACACACACACAAAGATAGGAAAAGGAGGAGCTTTGTGTTAAGATTATATACTGACTAAACTGACCTCTCCTTACAAACATACCAACAGGTGTTTAGATTGCAATGCTGGGTTTAATCATATTAGTAAAGATTATAGAGCTTTAAAATCCCAAGGCTAATATTCATGCAAGGCTAAAAGCGTTTGGAGTGTTCATGAGAAAGTGACATCCACAGTAGGTTAAAACTAACAAAGAAACTGTCTACTCAGTAAGTGCAGAGTTGACAGAAGAGTTGGCTAACATTGATGTAAAACTAGTCCAGAAATTGGGGTGTATAAACTACCTTTTCAACAGGCAAAAGATGCCAGTGATCAACATTGAGGACCTGACAGAAAAGGACAAACTGAAGATGGAAGTTGCCCAGCTCAAAAAAGAAGTAACTCTGGAAAGAATGCTGGTAAACTGCCATTCTCTTTTGAATTTTATTTTTTTTAAAGACTTATTTATTTATACATACAAGAACTAGGGTATAGGCCAGAGGTATGGTGGAGGGAGGGGTTGAGAGGATTCACCAGAGACAGAGTGGGGAGCAGAACAGGCAAATCTACTGAAATACACTGCTGGGGGGAGCCGTGGGCGAGACAGGAGAGGTCTGCTGAGCCATGTGGGTTGCTCCCAGGCCGGCCGGGGATCGAACTCATGCTGCAGAGGCTGCGGACGGCTTCATAGTGCTGTGCTTAACCCCTTGCACCACCAGGGAGGCCCTGAACTTTATTTTAGATTAGAAATGCTGTTGGAGTACCAGGTTAGAAAACCCTCACTGGAGAGGCTCAATGCAGTTAAAAATAAATTGTTCATGTAAAAATTCTTAAGGGATTAAGAAAATTAATAATCACAATTATCTCTTGATTTAGACTATAAATCAAAGCTTTGGCAAACTATTTTCCATGGGTCATATCCGGCCCTTACCCTTTTGATATGACCACTAAGCAAAAATATTACTATATTTGTATGGGTTGTTGAAAAGAGAGAAACGAAGAGGGTGAAACAGAGACAATATTTAACTAGGCAATAAAATGAAGTAATGAATATGGACTTTTTTTCCCACAAATTGATAAGCTTCTTTTTATTTGATGAAATACTTTGATATTGTTCGAATACTTTTAGCCAAGCTCTCTTCCCCTCCAGCACTGTCATGGCCAGTAATGAATGAGTACATTCTATTCCTTCTTTGCAAATAAAAATGAGTTCAAGGACAAAAACTCACTGGTTCCTCCTAAAAACACCCAGCAGATCTTGGAAATGGTTACCAAGGGTTCTCGGCCATTAGAAAAACAGAAATGTCAAAGGAATAAAAGTTTCCCCCAAACAGTGACTGAAGCTTAGAAAATGTAAACATGAATTTTATATCTCTTCATTTTAAGAAAGTTAGTGAAACAAAAACTCCTCCACAATCATGCTCAGTGAAATAAGCCAGAAAGAAAAAGAAAAATACCGGATGTTCTCACTCATAGCAGGAATCTAGAAAACTTAAATAAGGGACCAGGAAAATGAATAACTATAAGAAAGTGAAAATCAAATCAACAAAAAACTATGAACCAGAGACACTTTTGGGGGGGTGGGTGTCGGGAGGGGAGGGATTGGGGTCAGAATGAGGGGGTTGCAATTGTATGGGGAATATAAAAATAAAATTTATTATTTAAAAAAAAAGAAAAAAAAAACTCCTCCACAAATGATAAGAGCATACTGTGTGTGTGTGTGTGTGTGTGTGTGTGTAGAGAGAGAGAGAGAGTATATATATACATTGTGTGTATGTATATACTATATATATATATATATATATATATACACACACATTTTTTAAATCCCATATTATCAGGCCAAAGTAAAAGGACTTTGTACTGAACCATCATACTTTGCTCAAAACTCTTACTCCCAATCAAAATTGGAATTTTGGCTTCTTTTCTATTTATAATTGTCTCAAACTTCCCGGTTACCCTTTTCATACAGCCAAAACATATTTTGCTATAAAGATAAATCAAATCTATAAATAGTATAAAAACTTGGAACACACACACTAAAAAAGTTAAATTCATATCATTGTATCAGGGAAAATAAAATAAACTTTTGAGGTAAAGGAATTGTTTTTTCTTCCTTACTTGAATATCCAAAAGTGCTTTTATTATTTATGTAATCAGAATTGTTGTTTTGCAGACATTTGGATATATTTATTACCTTGTGGTAAGTATACCCTAGAATATTTTATTTAGGGTACACATTTATACCTCACTGTCTGTCAGGTGTTTGAGTTCCTTTCCCCCCATTATGTCTACATACCCTTGGAAATTAAACAAATTTAATATCTGACTGCTAAAAGTGTGTGTGCACATGTGTGTGCACATATGTGTGCGCGTGAGTGTGCGCGTGAGTGTGCATATGCATGTGCACATGCATGTCATGAACCTTCCAGGTGTTGAAGCCATAGCTCTGACACAGAAATGCATAGTGTTCCTACAGGATGGTTAAGCAGATAGACTCTGGAACCATGAACCCGGTTAACATTCTAGCTTTACAACTTTCTGTATACACTTACTTAAGTTAGCTCATTAACCTGAATCACAGTGTCTTCCTCTATAAAATGGGTATAGTTATGGCATGTAATTCAGAAAGCAATTGCGGGGAATAAATGGGATAATATAAATATGATCTGAGAACAATACTTAGTACTTAACAAGTGCTTTTTCTACCATTATTACTATTTTAACAGTTAAATTTTTTAAAAAAGTTAAAATTAAGAACCAGACTGATTCATAGTATGCCTCAGTTTATGTTGCTGTTAAGCCACTAGTATTGTCAAGGTAAGACGACACTTCGAATCCAGTTTCTAAAGCTGATAGATTTACAGTGGCTCCAAGTCAGTGTCATAGACAGAGACTAAAGACAATCTTTGTAGTAATATCTAGAAATAGCTACCCGTGAACATCTGGTATATGCCAGGTACTTAATGCAACCATGCTGCTCATTCTGTTTCATAAATGAAATAATTAAAGCTTAGATGAACTTTAACTAAAGAACATACATAGCTAATAAGTGGACAAAATTCAAACCTAGGATGCCCTGAATTTAACACATAATTTTTCCATCAGGCCATGTAATCTTGTACTAACCTACATATATTTATAATAAACTCCACTGAAATAATTTTTGAACACACAAACACATATTATTTGAGGTAACTTATTTCTCTCCTTAGCATCAGATCTGAGCCAGACACTGTCAAAACCAACTCTTCACTGACTCCTCTGTTAAAATAGTGATTTATGCCTCTCTGTTCCTGATATCTAGGGGAACCGAAAAAGCTAGTGTTTGGAGGTAGGTGGGTGGTAGGGTCATTGAGGGAGAAAAAAGTGAATCTAAATTACTGCATATTTCAAAACTATAATATCTTTTTGAAAAGATTTATTTATGCATAGAAGAACTGGGGTGTAGCCATAGATGTGGGAACTTGAGGATTCATTAGAGACAGAGTGAGGAGCAGAACAGGTGGAGGCAGATTAACTGAACAGATGGAAGCAGATTGACTGCTAAGGGGAACAGGGGGCAAGACAGGCGAGGTCTACTTCACCATATGTGGGTAGCTCCCTGGCTGCGATAGAACTCAGGACACAGTGGTGATAGTGTAATAGCACTGAGACTTAACCCCTATGCCACCGGGGAGGCCCTAAACTATAAAATCTTTAAACTTCAGGTATCCTCGTATGAAGTTGTCACCTGACCAATGACTTACCCCAGTTAGAAAAAAATTGTTTGTTCAGATACTTAATGAGTTTGCAGAGTTGTCAAGTAATCTTAAGTCTTAGATATAATGTTATGAAATTTTATACAAAATATCCTATACATATTATTAAATAAGTTAAATGATATATGGACTAGCCACTTAATAGACTGCCAAAGATGAAGTTTTGTGTTAATGTCATGAATGACACATTAAATGTAAACGAAACTAGTTGAACTCTAAAAGAAATTAACAATTTGATCAGGTGTGTATAAATGTATACACACACATTTATATTTTTTTTCCAAGTTTATTTATTTATTTATTTATTTATACAAGCACTGGGTACAGTCAGAAGTGCTGGAGGGTGAGAGAATTCACCAGAGCCAGAGCGGGGAGCAGAGCAGGCAGAAGGACCAAAATACACTGCTGAGGGGAGCAGCGGGCGGCAGGAGAGGTCTGCACGCCATGCGGGACCCTCCTCTGGTGGCCGGGGAGCAGCCGGGGATCGAACTGGCGCTGCAGAGGCTGTGGGCAGCTTCGCAACCCAGCGCTCAACCGCTGCGCCATCGGGGAGGCCCTCACATTTATATTTATTGATAGATAAGTATAGAGCATTGCCTTTCTCTAAATCATTTCTTAAATGGTATATTAACAGACTCTTGTTGGCTGATTCCATTAAAATACAAAACAGGGCCTCCTGGGTGGCACAGGGGGTTGAGACACAATCTATGAAGCTATCCTCAGCCACTGCAATGAGTTCCATCCCCTGCTAGGGAGCTACCCACATGGCGCAGCAGACCTCTCCTGACTTGCCCACTGCTCCCCTCAGCAGTGTATTTCAGTAGATCTGCCTGTTCCATTCCCCACTCTGTCTCTGGTGAATCCTCTCACCCTCCACACCCCTGGCCTGTACCCCAGTTCTTGTATGCATAAATAAATAAATCTTTTTAAAAAATAATAAAATACAAAACAGTCTGATTTGTTGTGAGTCATTTCTATAATGATGTAGATGAGTGAGGAGCAAGTTCATAACCAAAACAAATGATTCAGTTCAGCAAATATGTATTTACTGAGCACAAACTTAATGCAGGCTCTGTTCTAGATGCCTGGGATGCGTGGGAACAAATCAGTCAAAGGTCCCTCACCCGTTGGATATCACATCCTAGTACACAGTAGTGATCAATCACTGTAGACATGTGTATACTTCTGAGAATTCAGGAATGGTGATAAGCCTGCAATTTAATAATTATTCATTCCCTTCTACCTTTACATGTCACATTTTTGGAATGAGGAAAAAGGTTAATCAGTGTTCACTCTGGTGACCTTGAGTTGTATTGCTGGTTGAGTTCTGATGCTTGGATCATGTTACTTTTTAAAAAAAGCTGGAAGCAAAGCTGGAGTCTGCTGGGAATGCTAAGCTGGAGCATCACCAGCTGTTTATCCTTTGTTGGAGAAGTCTAAGAGGTCAGGGGAAGTGGCAGTTATTTCTTCTCTCCAACAAAGTACATAAGCATTGGTAGAAAACAGAATCACATTAAAAAGATAGAATAGAGAAAATATCTCAATTAATCTCAATTAATATTCTTGAATCTACAGTATTCTGTATTAAATCAAATGAGTCATCTCTTTCTTCTTTCCTTTAAGGTATCGAAATGTTGCGAAGATGTAAGGGATTATGTTGAAGAAAGATCTGGGGAGGATCCACTAGTAAAGGGTATCCCAGAGGACAAAAATCCCTTCAAGGAGCTCAAAGGAGGCTGTGTGGTTTCATAAAAAAAAAAAAAAAAAGAAAGAAAGAAAAGAAATACCAGGAATATCTTGAGTTTCAGTGACAGTATTAATTTTTGGTGGCGTATAGTAATACAACCCACATGAATTATAAGTATAAACTTTTAATAAAAATTGGGATGTGAAAACACCTAAAACTGTTTTTTTTAAAGATTTATTTATTTATGCATATAAAAGCTGGGATACAGGCCAGAGTTGTGGGGGGTGAGAGGATTCACCAGAGACAGAATGGGGAGCAGAACAGGCAGATTGACTGAAATATACTGCTGAGGGGATCAGCGGACGAGATAGGAGAGGTAGGCTGTGTCATGTGGGTTAGCTCCCTGGTGGGACAAGGATTGAATTTGTGCTGTAGTGGCTGGCTGTAGCCTGATAGCACTGTGTCTTTAATCCCTGTGCCACCAGGGAGGCCCCTAAAACTGTTTTTCTTATAGTACTTGATAATAATATTGATTGACCCCTTTCATTGACAATTTTTAGTATTTTTAATGAATGAGTCTACATTATTCTGAGTTGCCAGCATATAGTTAATATTTTCTGGTTCTTCACTTCCCTATCAGCACTTGTAATACTCCACCTAGAAATTTTATGGTTAGATTTGTATTTTTCCCAAATTTTCTCTTGCCCACTGAATTAGGAAATTTATTTTTTGATTCACAAATGATCTATCTTGCCAAAATGTGTTCTATGAATACTTTGTTTTTGGTATCTTATTTTGTTTCTTTTTTTCTCCACCCCCCTAGTCAATGGTAATGGTTTTACCATAACCTCTTCCTATAGTCATTCAAATTCTATTTGACATGGGGAAGATGACTTTCTCCCAGATTAACTAGATTAAGGGTTTAGCCTTTGCTCACACAGCACCATGAATTTAACCAGCTCTAGAATAAAGGTTACAAATACAGACTTAGAAGTCAGTGAGTTCTAACTTTACTGCCTAACTGACTTTGATAAATTACTTCACTTTTCTAAATATCAGTTTATTCTACTGTAAAATAGAGACAATGATGGCCCTTTTTCATGGGAGTTAAATATTATACTTGAGTAGCAATTGAAGTTAACATGTTGCCTACTATATACTAAGACCCAATAAGAGCTATCTAGTATTACTTATGAAAAAGGACTTAGACAAAATATTTCCAATTCTTTAAGGTACATGCTATTTCAACCCACCTCTATGAAGACTTTCACAAGCATGGTCCTTTTCTCTGTTGCAGTGGTGCAGAAAGACACAGAAAACAACTATTACCTGCATTATCTTGCTAATCAGTTTCCTCTTGGCAACTTATTGAGTTTGCATAAGCCAATTTTCACACCTTTTTACTGATGACTAAGAGATAACTTGCCTCTGCTTCTGTTAACAAATGACAAGTGTAATTACCCCAAATCGGAAACTATTTTTGTTATTAGCATTTCCTTGTTGCTGTCTCACAGTTACAGTGCTATATTTGGATATGTCTGTGATCAGAATACTTAGAAATGCTAATTAATTGTCATACTTTTAAGAACTTAATAAGAATTTTCTATTATTAGGTCAGAAAGGGACTCTAAGTCATCTCATGTTTGGTTCTTAATGTAGCGCCCCCCACCTCTCACCATAGCAAATGTGCAACAACTATCTGTTGACTCTTGCCAACCCCTTCATTTTGGGGTGGAGAAGATGATCGAGACTCAGGAAACTGAGTTGGTGAAATTTCTTGTATCCAAACTCTGGGCCTCTTCATGAAAGGTTAGCAACATATCTAGCACAAATCTTTATCAAATATGCATTGTAAATATGCATGTAAAATATATATTTTACATCATTGTTCATTTTTTTAATGATTTATTTATTTATGTATACAAGAGCTGGGATAGAGGCTAGAGATGCTGGGGGTGAGAGAATTCACCGTAGACAGGTGGGGAACAGAACAGGTAGACCGAGTGAAATATATTGCTGAGGGGAGCAGCGGGCGAGACAGGAGAGGTCTGCTGCGCCATGAGGGTTGCTCCCTGCCTGGCCTGGAATTGAACTGGAGCTGCAGAGGCTGTGGATTGCTTCATAGTGAGGTGCTTAACCCCTTGCACCACCAGGGAAGCCCCTCATTGTTCATTTTTTAACAATGTTTGCTTTCTTAAATATGCATTGGTTTTTAACAGATTCCAGGATACAGTAAATTCTCTTTTCTCTGTTTCTTCAGGAGACGCTCTTTCCCACTATTAAAAATTACAAAAACCCTCCCCATTATACCCAGTACTTCCTGACTTCCTTTCCCACTGCGTTCTCCTCTGCAGCACCCATCATCATCCAGCATATTTATTTATTTGTTTGTTTGTATATGTTTGTATGTATGCATTTATGGTGTCTTTCTGCAGAGGCTTTCTATGTGCAATTTAACATTTATTTAGTGAAGTATTCCATGTGTGTTTTTTCCTCTGATGAAAAAATCCACTGTCTCCTATGGCATGTGGTAGTGTGTACAATCCTAACAAACATCTTTTTTTTAATTTTTAATTTTTTTTATATCGTTGTTCATTTTTAAACAATGTTTGCTTCCCACCCCCTCAGGGGTAGTCCCCATAGAGTTTCCTTCACCAATGCACCGGTGCACTATCACTACAGTCCCCTGTGCTCTTCCTGCCCTTATTTTGATCCCTCTCCCTCCTCCTCCCCTGCAGTATGTCTCTGATTTATAATTGTCTGTTTTGGCTTTGTTGTGTTTTGTACTGTTATTTTTTTTACACTGATGTCTTATTGGGTTCCCCTATATTCCTGTTATAAGTGAAACCATCCGGTATTTTTCTTTTTCCTTCTGGCTTATTTCACGGAGCATAATTCCTTCTAGCTCCACCCATGTTGCTGCAAATGGCATGAGTTTATCTTTTTGATTGCTGAATAATATTCCATTGTGCATATATATCACATCTTCTTGATCCAGTCATCTATCTTTGGGCATTTGGGTTGTTTCCAGGTCTTACCTATTGTAAATAGTGCTGCAATAAACATAGGAGTACAGGTGTTCTTTTGAATCCATGTTTTTGTATCCTTTGGGTAGATCCCTAGGCGTGGAATTCCCGGGTCATATGGTAGCTCCATTTTTAGTAGACTGAGGAACCTCCAAACAGCTTTCCATAGTGGTTGGACCAGTTTGCACTCCCACCAGCAATGTAGGAGAGTTCCTTTCTCACCACATCCTCGCCAACATTTGTTGCTTGTTGTTTTGATATGTGCCATTCTTACTGGTGTAAGGTGGAATTGTTAGGGGGAAAAGGATGTCCTAAAGCTAATTCCATACAGGCTTTGTGGACTCCACCCCCCACCCCAGACCAAAGCCAAAGACACTGGGAACTCCAAATCCCATCACCACCAAAGGGAAGGTGGCTGGGACCTGAGGGTGGGGTTAAGCAGCCAGATTTGGTATAAAGCCAGACACGTGGGCTTTGGAGGGGATCCCCCATTTTGGCTCTCCACCAGCTCTGAGAGTGCCTTTGGATTTCCAGGTTGGCGGATCGGGTAGGACGCATTAAAGACTTTATTTCCCTATTTTCTCCCTGAGTTGTACATTTCCTTAATTCCCTTTCCCTTGTAAATAAACCTTTTATTAACCTTTTGTGTGCGCCTGTAGTGGAGTATTAATAAGTCCCTTTTAAGCGCAGGTGAGGACCCACAGCCCGGCAACCCGTTTTATATCGGGGTTGCCCTATAACAGTATCTCAATGTGGTTTTGATTTGCATTTCCCGGATGATAAGGGATGTTGAACATTTTTTCATATGCCTGTTGGCCATTAGCATTACCTCTTTGGAGAAATGTCCTTTAAGTTCTTCTGCCCATTTCTTGACTTGATTGTCTATTTTGTTTTTGTTTAAGTCCTGTGAGTTTTTTGTATATCTTTGTGATCTTATCAGTTGAATGGAGTGCAAAAATTTTTTTCCCAATCAGTGGGGTGTCTCTCTGTTTTGGTTAATGTCTCTTTTGCTGTGCAGAAGCTTTTCAGTTTGATGTAATCCCAGGTGTTTATCTTTTCCTTGACTTTCTTTGCTTTGGGTGATGAAACTAAAGATATTATTGAGATGTATGCTTTGTAGTGCTTAAGAAACATCTTTAGTTCTATCTAATAACTGGAGATATCTTTGGAGCCAGATGAGTCTAAATTACAACCATGGCTTGTCTACTTTGTCATTGGAAATTTTGGACAAGTAACTTTAGCTCTTTGAATCTCAGTTTTGTTTTGTTTTTTAAGATTTATTTATGCATACAAGAGCTGGGGTACAGGCCAGAGGTGCAGAGGGTGAGAGGATTCACCAGAGACAGAGTGGGGAACAAAACAGGCAGACTGACTGAAATACACTGCTGAGGGGAGCAGTGAGGGAGACAGGAGAGGTGTGCTGCGCCATGTGGGTAGCTCCCTGGCTGGCCAGGGATGGAACTCGTGCTGTAGAGGCTAGGGACAGTTTCACCGTGCTGTGCTTAACCTCTTGTGTCACCAGGGAGGCCCTGAATCTCAGCTTTTTTCATGTAAAAGTTTCATGTGTAAATTTTTTCATGTATAAGCTTTTTTCATGTATAAGCTTTTTTCATGTATTAGAATACATCCCTACATATGAATTTAAAATCTCTCAGATCATAGAGGTGGGCATATAGGCAAAACCTGGTAACTTTCTTTATTATTATAATAGAGCCTGTAGGCTTCCTGTAGTCAAAAAACTTTACTATTAAATAATCTTTGACACTTCATTTTCCCACCTACTGGAATTTAGTCATACATTGATCTCTACACCTGAAATGTTCCTCCACTTCATCTCATTTCAGCCTTTGAAATCCTTCTCCTTTTCTGAGGCTCACTAAAAATTATCTCCTCTATTTTTCACTTCATACCAAGAGTATGCTATATATCTCCTAGGTCATATAATACTACTTTTCTTTCTCTCTCTTTTTTTAAAGATTTTTTTTTTTATACATACAAGAACTGGGGTATACGCCAGAGGTGCAGGGGTGTATGTGAGAGGATTCACCAGAGAGAGTGGGAAGCAAAACAGGCAGAGTGACTGAAATACACTGCTGAGGGAAGCAGCAGCCAGGCAGGAAGGGTCTACTGAGCCATGTGGGTTGCTCCCTGGCCAGCTGAGTGGCCCAGATCGAACT